GCCGCACATGCGCGCGCACGGAATCCCTAATCGGAACACTGTCTTCAATACAGATATTACAGTCGTTTATAGAAGACCTTAAACTCTCTACCCGAAAAGCCTCACAGGCACATGATACTAGCGAGACGTCCATACGTCGTGTTCTCAAAAATGCAAAATTTCCCATATAAAATTAATCTTGTTGTGGTCGTACGCGTGTGATTCACGGATCACCCGGATAAGATAAAAAAAAAAAAGAAAGGTTAATGGTCCGTCAAGCCGTCGTTAGACCAAATGTAAGTCGGAGGAGGATAAGATATAAGATAAAGATATTTGGAAGTCACCAATAAAACAAAGTTAGTCGTGTTAAAATATTCTCGCTGTCTTTATTCGCACCGACGTTCCCACAAGAATCCAAACAGGCTCGCAGCCCTAAGCGCCCGGACAACTCACGACAATGCTCCTAATACTCGGAACTCGATAATTAAATCTCCTGAACGCGACGTCTGTACTCCGTTACGTTTCGGAGGCGAAGCCCCTAATTTTTCTCACGGGGCACTGTGGCGCGAGATCTCCCACTAACTCTCCATCAGCTGTGGCAGATTTTAATTGGCTAGTTCTCCGTATTCAAAGGTAAACGGCCGATCTTCGCGTCAACAAGTTTTCGTATGACACGTCACGCTTCGTCAAAATATACATCCGACAATACGAAACAACAATAGCCTCCCTCGGCCGATCGACCTTCTCGAAACTTCTAGATTTAACTACTCGCTTGTAAATATGAAAAGTCCGCTGCTCTATTTCAAATGTAAAATTTCAATTTTCGATCTTGTTGAGACTGCAATTAGTTTCAAGGGTCGCCACATTGTTAAGAAATTAATTGCAGATGATTTTGATCGTTGGGTAGAATTTTATGAAATTATGATGCAGAAAATTGATGAATCATCCCGAATTTATAAATAAGATTGTTTTTCAGACGAGACCACATTTTTATTAGACGGTGCAGTAAATAGGCATAATAGTCGATATTGGAGTGATTTTAATCCGCATTGGATGAGAGAAACAAATTCCTAATATCCACAAAAACTATTATAAATGTATGGGCGGGAATAGTTGGAACGCACATAATAGGGCCATTCTTCATCGATGGAACTCTAACGGCTAAAAAGTATTTAACTATGCTTCGAGATAATATTGTTCCTAGCATTTACAATATCTTCGGTCTAAATTTTGATTCAGTTTGATTTCAGCAGGATGGTGCCCCTCTACATTTTGGATTAGAAGTGCGAAATTTTTTAAACGACACTTTTACTGAAAGATGGATAGGAAAGAGGGGAGCAATAGAGTGGCCACCTAGATCACCCGACTTAACCCCTTTGGATTTTTTTCTTTTGGGATTATTTAAAAGACCGAGTTTACAAAACAAAACCTCGAAATTTGGATTATTTGCGATACCAAATTATTACTGAAGTGACATTAATTACGATCGATATGTTGGAAAACGTTAGTAACAATTTTTATCAACGATTAGCTCACTGTCAAATTGTACAAGGTCCACAGTTCGAACATTTATTATAAACGCATACTCAATCACTTTTTCACTCACTCACTCAGTTGCTCGCCATTTACTTACTCTCTAATTAACTCACTGACTCACTCACTGACTCACTCATTTACTCATTTGTTCATTTGTTCACTCTCTCTAACTCACTCACTCGCTTGCTCACTCGCTCAATTATTTACACACGCGCGCACACGCACACACACGAGATGTAAATCCGATCGAATACCGCGGTGCATCTTGGATAACGCTAATGCCGGCGGTACTTTAAGTATTCATAATTCAGAAAATTCTTATTGAAAAGGAGTTTGTAATAAGTGTTTTAAAAGCTCTCGAAGTCAGCTACAAGAATATGTAATAAAAAATAGGGGTTGCCAGTTAAAAAAATGGAGATGACATTCACGTGACCTTCAAATAACTCTTCAAGGTCAAACCAATGGTACCATCTTATGGCCCCCTCGAAACTAAACAACTTTTGCCTGAAACATTTTTTTCTAAAATACACCGTTTGTGAGATATTTATGTGTATCCAGGCTTTTGGCACACCCTGTATATACAGGGTGGTGAAAAAGTATGGAAGCAAACAATTATTTCCGAAACTATTCATTTTTCGACAAAATGTCTTAGACATAATTTTTATGGTATGAAAAGATGTATTATGCGGCATAGACGGCATGACCTTGAAATGACCCTTACGAGCTGCATACAAATAACGTAAAAAATTTCAAATGGAACTCGTCAGTTTTTGTTACAGATTTTTGTAGCTGATGTCAAAACGTTTACAAAACACTGCATATGAGCCCCATTCCCTTAAAAACACTCCCAGTTACGAAACAATTGTGATAATTCGTATCGACGAAATTGAAAATAGACAGCGTACGTGTGATTACATGAATGTGTATAACACGACTGAACGTCATTATGAGAGATCAGTACAACAGTAGCGATTACTGCAACAAATGGAGAATAATCCGCTTCGATCATTTCTGCCGATACGAAAGACACGCGAAATTCGTAGAATCAGTTAAGGCGTACATCGAACGTACTCAAGGAAAGAGATGCGTGATTCATCATCCAACCGTTAAGGAAAAAGTGCGATTCATCCAACCAGTTAAGGTAATATAAGTGCGATTCATCCAACCAGTTAAGGTAAGATAAGTGCGATTCATCCAACCAGTTAAGACAAGATAAGTGCGATTCATCCAACCAGTTAAGGCAAGATAAGTGCGATTCATCCAACCAGTTAAGACAAGATAAGTGCGATTCATCCAACCAGTTAAGGCAAGATAAGTGCGATTCATCCAACCAGTTAAGAAGATAAGTGGATTCATCCAACCAGTTAAGACAAGATAAGTGCGATTCATCCAACCAGTTAAGACAAGATAAGTTACAGATAATTGTTTCGTAACTGGGAGTGTTTTTAAGGGAATGGGGCTCATATGCAGTGTTTTGTAAACGTTTCGACATCAGTTACAAGAATCTGTAACAAAAACTGACGAGTTCCATTTGAAATTTTTTACGTTATTTGTATGCAGCTCGTAAGGGTCATTTCAAGGTCATGCCGTCTATGCCACATAATACATCTTTTCATACCATAAAAATTATGTCTAAGACATTTTTTCGAAAAATGAATAGTTTCGGAAATAATTGTTTGCTTCCATACTTTTTCCCCACCCTGTATGTATAGTATATATATATATATATATATATATATATATATATATATATATGTCATATTTTATTGGTACATATACATATACATATATATAAGTGTATGAAACGACCGTATGTTCGTGCTAGATTCATTAATTATTGTGAATCTCAAAATAAAGTACGAAACATTATTGCGTACGATCTTTTTTCATTTTGTAATATTTATTATTGGAGTAATATACACATATATATTTTATTAAAATATTTTTATTGAAATTATTAAAACATTAAATTTTATGTGAAATAAAATAAGCATTTTAATTTTATCTATATTATATTATTTATATATTATTTATATATATAATTTTATATATATTATACACGCATATACATAGAGGATGTCCTAGATCACCCGTACACTCCTTTTCTTTCAAAAACTAAGCATTTTAGAGAAAAACGTTTTCGACAAAAATTATATGGTTTTGAGGGGAACATAAGATGGTGGAATCTATTGTGGAATCTATTGTGTAATCTATTGTGGAATCTATTGTGTAAAAAAAAAGCACATAATTGTTCCGAAGAAAAAATATGTAATTTACAATTAACAATTACATATTTTTTCTTAAAAACAACTGTGTGTTTTCTTTACACCAATTGATTCCTCTCATTATTTTGTACATAAAAGTATTAAGGTAAGATAATAAAAAAATGAATATTTTACTAGATATTTTATGGTTTATGTAAAATTGAAAAATTATTTCAAGCCTCAACTCAAAAAGTACTCAATGAAAAAAATATTTTATTATAGTGTTTTGGAAAGCTCTCGACATAAGCTATAAGAATATGTAATAAAAAATAAGTGGTTCCATTTAAGAAATTAAAGGTGTCCTTGACCTGACCTGAACGATGCCATCCAAGGTCAAACCAATGACACCATCTTATGTTCCCCTCGAAACCGTACAATTTTTGTCGAAAACGTTTTTCTCTAAAATGCTTAATTTTTGAAAAAAAAGAGGTGTACGGGTGGTCTAGGACACCCTGTATATTACTTCATAATATATGCTAAAGTGAAAAAAGATCACGCGCTGTTAATAATATGTAATAAAAATTAATAAATGTATGATATGTTTTGTACTTTTGAGATCTACAATTATGGATCTAACACGGACATGAACCAATCGATCGTTTTACCGTTGCAGCGAAAAGTGAATCCGGCTACGTAGTACCGCCGGCCGTAAAATGGATCCAGTTAGCGCCACTTTATGATGGGGTGTAGCGTCCATTCACCCTTCCAATGGCAATTTGGGGATTTCTCGTGGACAAACCACGGGACGACCAATCACAACGCGACTCGCGACAATAGCGCCACACTAGACACGACACGACGCCACGCTAAGCTTAGCGTTTCTTATGTATTATTCTTTTCTAGTTCTTTTTCACTTTTTTTAAGAGGATTTACACACGCTCAAAAAGATTCTAGTTTATATACCAAAGATAATTGTTATTTTTGAATAAAGACTGATTTTCTATTATTAAACGGTGTGCATAAATATATGTGTTGGATACCCAATCCCTACATATATATTTCTGGTGACCCCGACGTGATCAGCAAGGTACGCGAGGAAACGTGTTACGAGGCACACAAAAAAAGGACCGTTAGTACTCGGCGGACATATTGGTTGTACGAGATCGAGAGACCGATTTTATAATGCCGACAACGCACTCACCGCCGCGAGGCAGAACAACGAGCGAGTCAAACACCGGCCGTGTTTCACGCGAAGAAGACGACGACGTTTTGTCCCTCCAGCGAGCAGACACCGAACACAGCGAACCTGAGGCTATAAACGCAGCACACCTAGTAAAACTGCCGCCGTTTTGGAAAGAAAATCCAGTGTTATATGGTTCACGCAGATCGAAGCAGCATTCGCTATATCCAGAGTTACAGGCGACGAGACGAAGTTCAGGTACGTCACAGTTCATTTGGATCAAACTGTACTGCCCTTTGTCTCAGATATTCTGGCCACGCCGCCGATTGCAAACAAGTACGAAACTCTTAAGCAGAGAATAATAGGATCGTTTGATGAAACCAACGAATCCAAACTGCGGAGATTGCTACGTGGAAACGAGCTCGCGGATGAGAAACCCTCAAGCTTCCTGCAGAGACTGCGAAATCTTTCAGGGAGTCAGTGCACCGACGCAGTACTTAGAACATTATTCTTAGAGCAGCTGCCTGACAACGTACGTAGTATCTTAGCCATAAGTGAAGTTACAGATTTGTCGAAATTAGCAATGCAAGCTGACAAAATCACGGATATGTCAAGAGTTAGTGTAACACAAGTCAATGCCGTTGCAAAATTGCCACATTCGGGAGAAGCTACCGCATCTTGCGAACTCAAGGCTGCGATTGATGCAATTGCAGAGCAACTAAAAGAGTTACGCAGTGCACAACAGCGAGACAGGTCCAAAAGTAGAGGACGTGACAAGTACGCGCGCAGGAATAAATCAAGATCAAAATCTCAAGAGCATCACGAATCCAATACATGTTATTACCACCGGAAGTTCGGGCAGAAAGCGTTCAAATGCTTATTACCATGTGAGTGGAAAGATCCCAAGGCAGCGATCGCGGAAAACTAACCGCGTCGTTTAACCAGATGACGGAGGCGGACGACGCAAAGACATTCCGTCTAACCGTAGCAGATAGGAAAAACGGGATTCGCTACCTCATCGACACCGGAGCAGATGTGTCAGTTATACCAGAGAATGCAGTCAGAGGAAATATTACGGCGAGCAAATATAAATTATACGCAGCCAATAATACTCTGATAATCACCTATGGGTCAAGGTTAGTTAATGTAAACTTAGGATTACGAAAGAAGCTAGATTGAACGTTCATAGTGGCGGATGTCAAGAAAGCCATAATCGGAACAGACTTCCTGACACATTTTGGATTGCTAATCGATTTAAAACACAAACTGTTGCGTGATGGAACTACAAGTTGCAAGGTAGACGGTAAACTGTCAATTTCGGAGATTGGAATTACCACCTTTGACCATGCTGATCCTTTTGCCGATCTTCTGCGGAAATTCAGCGACATCACTAAACCGGTAAGCCTTCAGAAACCAAAGCACGGAGTAACGCATCACATTATTACTACAGGTCCAGCGGTCGCGGAACCGGCGCGCAGATTGTCTGGTGAAAGATTACATGCAGTACGCGCACAAATACAGTATATGTTAGATGCAGGGATTTGTAGACCCAGCTCTAGTCCCTGGGCTAATCCATTGCATTTAGTACCAAAAAAGGATGGCGATTGGAGAATATGCGGCGACTACAGGTGATTAAACAACATCACAGTGCCGGACAGATACCCAATCCCGCACTTGTACGATTTTGCACATAAGCTGGAAGAATGTAGCATTTTCTCAACACTAGACCTAGCAAGGGCGTACCATCAGATACCTGTCGCAGAAGAGGATCGTCCAAAAACAGCAGTAATAACACCATTTGGTCTTTACGAATACAATGTGATGCCTTTCGGTTTACGAAACGCCGCACAGTCATTTCAAAGGCTTATGGATTGTGTCCTTCGCGGCATCAACTATTGTCACTGTTACATCGATGACATTTTAATAGCGTCACCGAACGTGGAAACACCGCGTACACCTACTTCAGATATTTCAACGATTACAAGAACACAGGTTATCCATCAATGCAGCAAAATGCGTTTTTGGCAAAGAAGAGGTTAGTTACTTAGGTTATACTGTCAATAGTCAAGGCACTAAACCTCTGGATAAGAGAGTGGAAGCGATTAAGAAGATGGAGAAATCAACGGACATCAGCGGACTCAGATGTTTCTTAGGAATCATAAATTTTTACAGAAGATTTATTCCTAACGCTGCACTCACGCAGGCTCCGCTTCATGAATATCTGATGAACGCCAAGAAGAAAGATAAGCGCCCTATAGCATGGAATGAACGTGCAGATAAAACCTTCCAAGAATGCAAACAACAAATAATAGACGCAACTCTATTAGCACATCCGAGAAAACATGCGGTCCAGGCAATAAAGTCAGACGCCTCAGATACAGACGTTTTGGAACAATATTACCAAGGAAATTGGGAACCCCTCGGATTCTTTTCAAAGAAATTCAGCCCAGCGCAGAGAAATTATAGCACATATGATCGAGAGCTCCAAGCCATTTACAGCAGCCTCAAATTCTTCAAATCAATAGTAGAAGGTCGCAAACTCATAATAAAAACCGACCATAAGCCGTAACCTATGCCTTCTTACAGAAATCTTCGAAAGCATCACCAAGGCAATTAAGGCAGCTCGATTTCATTGGTTAATTTTGCACGGAAATCATCTACATCAAAGGTGAGAACAACACAATAGCCGATGCACTGTCACGCGTCGAATTAATCGACATGCCAGTCGTCGTTACAACCGAAGAACTTGCGCAGGCACAGCATACCGACGAGGAACTCAAAGACCTACTTCAAAATGAAGCTCAATCACTGCAGCTAAAGAAAATTCGTGTAGACAATTCCGATACCGTCGTTTATTGCGACATTTCCAAGGAAGAGATACGACCCTATGTACCTAGAAGCTTACGAAAAAGAGTATTCGATGTCACACACCGTCTAGCACATCCCAGTGGACGCGTCACTCGAAAAATTATTGGACAACGATTTATATGGCCAGCAATGAATAAGGACATTACCGAATGGGTAAGAACTTGTTTACAGTGCCAGAAAAACAAGATCCACAGACATAACCGACTTGAATCAGAGCACTTCCCAGTGCCTGATACAAGATTCGATCACGTGCACATGGACATAATTGGACCGTTACCCAACATTAAAGGATACCGTTACTGCGTAACAATGATCGATCGTTTCACAAGGTGGCCTGAAGCAGTTCAAGATATTTCAGCGGACACCGTCGTGGATGCACTTTTTCATACCTGGATAGCACGTTTCGGGGCGCCTACGACAATCACTACCGATCAAGAAGCACAATTTGAATCGCAACTGTTTAGATCCCTGACTAATCTTCTGGGATGCAAACGTACAAGGACTACAGCGTATCATCCAGCATCAAATGGGATAATTGAACGCTGGCATCGTTCTTTGAAAACTGCAATCCGTTGCCATGAATCTAAAAATTGGTTACAAGCATTACCAGTTGTTCTATTAGGGTTACGCACCAGCATCAAAGAAGACATCAAGGTCACAGCAGCAGAATTGGTATATGGAACTACCCTACGTTTACCAGCTGAATACTTCTTCAACGAAGATGTTGCACCAGAACCAGAGACTTTTATACAACATTTCCGAGAGCACATACGGAATGTCAGGTCTACGCCAACAGTTCATCACAGTAAAAAGAAGACATTCACACATAAGACTTTATATACATGTACCCACGTCTTTGTACGAGTGGACAAAGTAAGAGGCCCACTAGAACCACCATACGAAGGACCGTACCCGGTAAGCGAAAGAATTACAGATCATATATTTAAAGTTCTTATTAAAGGAGAGGCAGTTAACATCTCTGTGGATCGCCTTAAACCGGCATTCATGGAAGCAGGATTTGAGGAGGAAGGCGAGTCGTCATCCACGCAAGCCACGGAAACCACCAAATTGAGAGTCTACCCAGGCAAACGCGTTACATTCGCGGCTCAGTCTTAAGCTGCGCCACTCGAGGGGGAGTGATGTAGTGTCCATTCACCCTTCCAATGGCAATTTGGGGATTTCTCGTGGACAAACCACGGGACGATGGACCACGGACCAATCACAACGCGACTCGCGACAATAGCGCCACACTAGACACGACACGACGTCACGCTAAGCTTAGCGTTTCTTATGTATTATTCTTTCCTAGTTCTTTTTCACTTTTTCTAAGAGGATTTACACACGCTCAAAAAGACTCTAGTTTATATACCAAAGATAATTGTTATTTTTGAATAAAGACTGATTTTCTATTATTAAACGGCGTGCATAAATATATGTGTTGGATACCTAATCCCTACAGGGGAAAAAGCGTTCCCTGAAAAAGGGCAGGCGTGACCCCTCTCAGTCTTCTCTCTGTCATTGGTAACTTTGGTTCCCGCCCATCGAGGCGGGAAACAAAATAACCAATGAGATACTAACAAAAGAGACAGAATAATGTCCCTAGAATATAGAGTCTGGAAAATCCGAATCAAAACCCTTTAAAATGGCGTCAATGTGTGACGTGAGTATATAATGAAAGAGAGTTTCTTATAGAAGAATTGAAAATACATAAAGAGAAAAAGTAAGTAATAAATAACATAAATAATAACATATAATAATATATAATGTATAACATATTAAATATTATAACATATAATTATTAATACATATAATACATATAAATTATTTTATCTCTAACTTCTAAATAATGTTAATAAAATATACATTTAATTTTAATGATAGACTAAATCATATTGTTGTGTCACCAAATGTACTAATTCCTCCTTAATATTATGCAATATTTTGTTATATCTATTTGTTTTACTATGTCCCAGGTAGCAAGTACACGTCATTTTGACGTTCCAAATTAGTCATTTTTGGTCATATGTCGTCAAAATGACTGATTTGTTACATGACTTTATATTGACGTTTTGATATAACATTATTTTGACATTATTTTTCAGTCATGAAGTGATGATTATTTTATTATTAATATCATTAGTTAGTACATCGATCCCATAAAAAATCATTTAAAATTTTTTATATAACACATGACTTTCGCGATCAGACTTTAACAATCGTTAAAGTAAAATTCACTGTAAAACCAATAAATTTCACTGTAATAATCGCTAGTTCATTTGTTTACCGCTATGAGCGCTATCTCTCTCGTATTATAGTTTTAGTTATGAACATTATATAAAGTTTGCAAAGAATGACAGGTAAAATTAGAGATATTACTTCGATTTAATTTCTTATACAATCCCAATAGAGAGGTTTCAGATATTAGATCGACTTTATAAGTCGGACGAATAAATGTCTGGCTACTTAATGAAAATTATTCATTCGTTATTTATTTAAAATAACAAGTTCAATATACATGTAATATAAATAAAATAAAATTTTTAATATTATAAATAAAAATATTTTACTAAAGTATTTACTAAAGTAAATATAAATAAAATTTTTAATATATATTTATTTAATATATATTTATTTCATATATATTTATTTCATATATATTTATTTCATATATATATTTATTTATATATATTTATATATATTTATATATATGTATTTATTTATTTTTATATTTATTATATTTATATTATATTTATGAAATAGATAGAGAGATGAATTGTACCCACAAGGCACAAAGACGTCTAAAAGACGACTAAAACTGGATATATTTTCGTCAAAGACGTCTTTTAGTTAGAGACAATAGTCGACGAAAAGTCGACTAAAAGTCGGCTCATGACTCGAATTTAGTCACTAATCTGTCAAGCCAAAAAAAATGACTAAAATACTAAATCATATCATAATTTTTAAACGAAACATATATATTTCAATCCCTAAATAATAATATAATTTATCTATTTCATATAAAATTTTACATAAAAATTTTGTATAAAAAGTTTATTTATA